GCCGGCTCGGGGACAGGGCGGGGGCGGCCGCCGGGGGCGGGGCCGGCGAGACCCGGGGGCGGGCCCGGCGCGGATTGGCCGGGACCCGCCGCGTGACCGGCCCCTTATAGGGCGTGGCGCGGGGCCGCGGAGTCGGGTGCGGCGGCTGCCGGACCGGGCGAGGTCCGGTGCGGTCCCGGGGCTCGCGGCTGTTCCGCTCCAAGCCCTTGGCGCCTGCCGCGCCCTCCGTGCCGGGGCTGCCGGGCCGGGGATGCACGCGGTGCCCGGGAGCCATGGTCCGCTTCGGGGACGAGCTGGGCGGCCGCTATGGGGGCACCGGCGGGGAGCGGGCCCGGGGCGGCGGGGCCGGCGGGGCGGGTGGCCCGGGCCCCGGGGGGCTGCAGCCGGGCCAGCGGGTCCTCTACAAGCAGTCCATCGCGCAGCGCGCTCGGACCATGGCGCTGTATAACCCCATCCCGGTCAAGCAGAACTGCTTCACCGTCAACCGCTCGCTCTTCGTCTTCAGTGAGGACAATGTCGTCCGCAAATACGCCAAGCGCATCACCGAGTGGCCATATCCTGCCAGGGGTCGGACCAGGCGGGGTCGGGGGTGACAGCGAGGTCTCGGGGACAGGGACCGGGCGCGGCGTCGTCGGCGTCCACGCCCGCTGGGTCTGGGAGGGGCGGCCTGGGTGGAGGGCCGGGGCTGGAGCGGGTCGCGGCAGCGCCCAGTGGCCATCTTTTCCCGGGCCGGGAGGAGGGTGCGACCCGGGAGAGGCTCGTCGGAGACATCGCGGCTAGGCTAGGAGGGGGCGGGGCGGGGCCTCTCGGTCTGTCTCCGCGCGCGTGTGCGTGTGTGTGGTCCTGTGTGTGCGTGTGTGCGTGTGGTCGCGGAGGCCGCGGCGGGGCTGGGTGGCCCCTGGGCGGAGCCCCTCTGCCCAAGGGCTCATCCCTTCGCTCACTTGGTCTTGGGGAGCCTGGTTGGGGCTCTGAGTGCGCGGCCACCCTGGAGGGCACACGAGGGCGAATCCAGGTCTGTGTAGGTGTGAGCCCCGTGTGGACGCGGGCCCGCGCGTGTGCTGGCTGCAGGTGCCTGCGTGTGTGTGCGGGCATAGCACTAACCGGCGCCGCGCGTGGATGCATTCGGGGTTCTCGGAACATATATGTTCACGTGCTGGTGTAGGTACTTGTGGTTGCGTGATCTTTAGGTAGGAATGTGCGCCTGCGCGGGGTCCTCTACTGCAGCACTGGAGCCACTGAGCCCCCTTTTTCCTTGTGCTGGACGGGCGGAGCCGGGGCGGAGACGCTGTCAGTGGTGCTGACGGCCGCCCGGAAGAGTGGAGGGGCTGGGCTGTGACTGCAGAGGCCCCGCCTCGCGGCTGCCCCCAGGGATGGGGGCGGGGTGCAAGGAAGACCAGCCCTTGTCCGCGGGAGGGATGGGCTCCGCACTGGCCATCCTCAGCCCTCGGGAGATGGCCTGGCCCTGGCTGCTGTCCTGAGCAGCCGTTGGCCTCCACTGCCGCCTGGTGTCTTCTTGGCCAGTCCTTAACCCTTGCACTCCCTTTGAGTACATGATCCTGGCCACCATCATCGCCAACTGCATCGTGCTGGCCCTGGAGCAGCACCTCCCTGATGGGGACAAGACACCCATGTCTGAGCGCCTGGTGAGTACTGTCTGCTGGGCCTGAGGTTGGGGAGATGGCCGGGTAGTGACAGCTTTTCCGTTAGAATCTGTGCCTGAGCTGGGGCACACCTCTTCTTCAGTGGAGGGACAGAGTAGAACCTGGACTGCTGACCCTTCCCTCAAGGCCCAGGTCTTCCCTGTGCCTCGAATCCCTGCTACACCCTAGGTGGGCCATCCAGACATGCCATGCTGGACCTTGGTCTAAGAATCTAAGTTCTAACCCTAGGTGAGGGAGGGACATTTCTAATGGGGAAGACTTATGGGTACCCACCCTTTGCTGTAGGACTGATGGAGCTCTTTTGGTGCAGCCTGGAGTCCAGAGACTCTACCTTCTGCTTCCAGGTTATCTTCCAACTTGGAGCCCTTTCCCATGGGGGCCACCAACATTCTGAATCTTTATTACCTCTAGCTTCCTGCCAAGGGCTCCCCAAACCCCTGTGGTGTCAGTGTTGAAGCACTGAGCTTGGGGGAGTCAGGGGCCAGGGCGAGGTCTCTGTAGGACTCTGAGGCCACAGGCCTCAGGCAGAGGAGGCAAGGGTTGAAGGCTATTTGGGCAACTCTCTGGAGGGTTGGGTCAGAGAGAGGTTGATGCTTCAGGGTCAACACCACTTCACAGGAGAGGATGCGGTCTCAACCTCTAGCTCTTCTCTGATGCCCTTTTGCCTGGGTTCAGCATGGACTTGGTGTGGACAAGGAAAAGCAAGAGGAGGGGTTGGGAGAGGGGGAATAGGGTACCTGAGGAGATAGCATGAGACTGCTCCATCTTCCTTCCATCTACCCTGGCTGCTGCTTTCCTGACCTCAACTCATAGATGTGTAAGATAGGCCTGTTGAGTGCTTAGCATGGGACCTGGTGCCCTGCTAAATTCTGGTCTGGTTTCCAGTAGCAGAGGTGATGGCAGGGCTGCCTGGAGGTGCCATGACTGGGTGGGCACCAGGAGGAGGCAAGTGAGTGGACATTCGGACCGATGTGGGGCTTCCTGGAGGATCCTAGAAAGCCAGGAGGGTAGAGGGAGTGGGGGAGGAGGAGTGTGAGCCCTCCTCCAGACAGAGGATGAGTCATGGTCCCTGGGGGCTCCCAGGTGTGCTCGATGGGGTCTGTCCCCTCCTGGGCCTCAGGGTTCTGCTGTGGTGTAGGCCCTCTGCCAGCAGTGTCTTTGTGGTGAGCATCTACTCCAGATGCCAGAAGGGGTGAACCTGAGGCTACAGGTAGGAAGCCTCAGCTGCCAGGCCACAGGGTCTGGTTATGGCTCCATGGAAGTCTGGCAGGTAGGGCCAGAGGGATATAGGTTAGACTGGGGTCAGCTCAGGGAGTGAGCAGTGGTTGGACTCAGGTGTCCCTCATGAATCAGCCTGGAGTCCAGCTGGGTGAGTACCTGCCTGTCAGGTGTAGCAAGTTTGCTTTGGGGTGGCAGAGGGGGTGCACTTCTAGGGCTGGAGCACTAAGCTGCTGGGAAAACAAGCAGAATGTGCCTGCACTGGGCCCAGCCTGAAGGTCTGAGGAGCTCTTTGCTGACTCCAGTCCCACTTGCAGGCCTAGCCATTGCGGGTTCTTAGGATGGACAGAAGCTGGAACATAGAGAGATGGCCTGGAGGCTGTTTCCTGGGAAGAGGTAGAGCTGGATGGTGCAGGGTCCTCTTAGTGTTTGCCAGCCTGGTTCTTATCAGGGCCCTCCTGGCTCCTTTCTTTAGGGATGTGTTTCCCACTCACCCATCATCCAGACCTGCCATTAACTGAAGGCCCTAGCTTGCAGTCCAACGCCACCCAAGGCCTTGGCTGCCTGCACATCCATGCCCCAGCCCTGCCAGCCCTCAGCCAGCCATGTGTTGGTCTAGGGTTGGGCTGGTAGGAGCTTGGACAGAGGGGCCTGAGGTAGGACCTTCTTCCCAGCAGACCTGGAATCTGGCCTGCTCTTCTCTTTTCTGTCCATAGACTTTCTGTGAATATCTGTCCTTCTTGGCCCAGCTGTTTCCCTAAGGCAGCTAGTCAGCAGCCTCTCCCCCCTGGGGAGAGGGTACCCTCCTAACTAAACCACACCAGAAGCCTGGAGGCCAAGAAAACTGCATGTATCCCTCCAGGGGCCTCATCACTGTGTGAGTCAGCATCAAGGTGGTAGGACAGGAGGGCTGGGCTATGCTGGACACTCAACTGCCTGGGCCCCTCAGGTGCTGGCAGCTTTCGCCAGTCACTGCTGCCTGTGGGCTAGCTCCACTCCAGGGCAAGGGAAAGGAGGTCCAGGCTGAGAGTGCTGGCAAGACAGCGTGTGTGTGTGTGTGTGTGTGTGTGTGTGTGTGTGTGTGTGCGTGCGGGGGGCGGGGGGGGTGGCTTGAGGGACAGGCTTCCAGGAGGAAGGCACAGGCTGAGGGGTCTGGCCACTCCACCTCACCTGGCAGCTCCTGGAAGTGAGTATCCAGTGCCGGCTGTCTGCTTCTCCCTCTTAGGGCAGACCAGCTTTCTGAAGGGCAGTTTCTCCTGGGCCTCCACAGTCCTGAGGGCCAACCTCAGCGGTGGCTCTGGAAGCTGGCCTCCTCCCTATCACCACTTTGTCTTCACACAACTGCAGCTCCAGGGTGCAGGTATCCGAGTCATGCTGACCTTCCATGTCCAGCTCACCAGGGCTGTCTCTGCTACCCTCCCCTCATACACGATGCTCCCAGCATTGTTGCACCGTGTCCTCATGTGGCACCCATCTCCCTGAGCTCCATGTTGTTTGTTTAGCCCCTATGCAATGCATAGTAACTGTTGGCTGAGCTGCAGCCTGGGGTGGAGGAAAAGGATCTTTCTAGGAGTCCCATCTTTATTCCTTTGCTCACATTGTTTCTTCCAGCTAGAATTCCTTTCCTTAAAATGTAGCTGTCCCCCTACTTGCCATGCACTCTAAGAGGCTCCCTGAGTCTACCTCATCTTGGTCTGAGCCTGGGCTTGCTTCCACCTCCCAGCTCATGCCCACCCCACTGGGCCTAAGGCCTACTCCTGAATGTGAGGTGGCAGAGCCCATAGATGTCATCAGCCAAGTGTCCTCATGGCTGCAGCTTTCCCTTCTCTATTTCTTTTTTTTTTTTTTTCTCTTTCTACTAGCGTTTGCATGTTCTCTTTATCCAGGTTGTATTGAATGCATAAGTGAGACCTGAACTGAGGGAGGTTAAATTTTATCCAGGCAACCTGGATCCAGGCAACCTGGTGCAGTGGCCAGAGCCTAGGGTCAGACCCTGATGGCTGATGGGTTCACTTATGGCCTTTGCCCAGTTTCTCCATGTCTATTCCTCTGTCTTCTTAGAATGGGGGAAAGCACAGAAGTCTTTGAAAGGGTTACCCTACTCTATACAAGAAGGACTTACCCCCAAAGAACACCTTCGCTATCTTATTACCTCCCTTAGGTAAGGTCTACCATATGATTCTAGCAGAGAATGACCTGGGCACTCTGTGAGTGGAGCAGAGGCTATGATGGGGAGGAGGCTCAAGGGCTCCCTGGCTGGGACCCCGGGTGCCATGTCAATAGTTGTGTGCCCCATTAGGCACATATGCAGATGAGTACACCAGGCTAGTGGTGGCAGTGTCAGCTGGAGAAATCTGTGGGGTATCAGGCAGGGTAAGGAGAGTCAGCCTTGGGATCATGGTTTGTGGCCATCTGACAGGGCCACTGTACTGAAGGGCAAAGGTGACCATGTTTTGTGTTCCTCCTTAGGATGATACGGAGCCCTATTTCATTGGGATCTTTTGCTTTGAGGCGGGCATCAAGATCATCGCTCTGGGCTTTGTTTTCCACAAGGGCTCCTACCTGCGGAATGGCTGGAATGTAATGGACTTCGTGGTGGTCCTCACGGGGTAGGTGGTCATGGCCTGGGTGTACCTGTGTGTGTGCATTCATGCTTCAGGACTGGGAGACGATGGTGCTCAGGATGCAGAGTGTATGCGGTCTCTGGTTGCTCCTCGGCGGGATGGGGATTCCTTCTCCCCCAGCAGTATTTGTGCTGTGTTCTTTGCTGAAGGGCTGACTCACAGTGGCCTGTCTTCAGGAGGAGTCTGCTAATAGAGCTCACAGACGAGGTGGATACCGGGTTCTGTGGCCTGCACCGACCTTAGGTTGCCTGCTGTACAGTGATGTGGGTCTCCTGGTGAGGGGATCTTGGGGAGGGAGCTCCAAATCACCTGTGATCTGGGAGGGGCACTTGGCATTTGAGGAGCTTTGTGCTGCCCTGGCGTGAGGCTGAGTACACCATGTGTTCTGTTTCTGCCCTGGGAATGTGCTTAGTCAGCGTGCCATTCCACCACTTCCCGCAAGTGCCTCCTCATTGTGACCAGCACACCACTCCCCAACAGCCCAGGGGAGCTAGGAAGCCAGCTTTCTTCCCATTCTTGAACTCTTCAGCTTCGGTCGCTCATCTGTTTGATGGGCATTTTAGGTCCCTGTTCTGTTTCTCCAGCTGCAGACTGAGGGTGGTGGAGCTACTGTCCTCTGGTGCGCAGGGTGGTGGCTGGGGTGAGGGCCTGGAGTTTGTTCCCATAGAGCCTGTTTGCCTGGCTCAGGACCCAGAGGCTCTGTTCTGGGCTAGGAATGGCAGCCTTATTTTCCCTGTGGCCTTGTGGAGTGGTGGTATGGTCAAGCCTCTGTCTCTTGCCCACTGACTGCCCCAGGTGGCCTGGTACATGTGGAGGTATGTGGAAGAGGAGGAAGGAGGGACTATGGGAGTCCTGGGTTTGGAGCACCAGCCTCCATGGGTCCCTGTATATGAGAAATAAAGGAAGTCTGGTAATGGCCTCTGGGCTCCATAGTAAAGTTCTCAAAGTGGATTGTGTCTCCTTCCCCACCTGCTCTGCTGTTCTTAGCAGCCTGTGAGCAGCTTTGCTGCTGGCAGTGTTTGCAGGGCTGAGGCCTGGTGAGAGCTGTCTGTGTCTGTGGCATGCCCAGGGTACATCAGTATGAGGTGGTCTCTGTGCCTTTTATGGTATGGCAAACATTTTTGCACACTTGCACAGGCTGCTCCCTGCTCTGAGGTGGGGTGGTGTTGAGTGAAGAGTGTGGCCCTTGTAGGCTGGGCGCTCCCCATGTCCAGGGCCAGTCTGTGGGACATCCAGGAGTCACTGCAGCTGTTAACAGCTCTTTCTCTCTAGGCACAGGTCCCTGAGGACAAGAACAGTGTCTTATTTTTCAGGATGTCCCCTGAGCTTGGGGCAGGCACCCCAGAGGAGGCAGTGAAAGGCTGCTGAGCTAATGAATGCTGAAGCTTAGGGGGTGTCCATGGGGAGCTGGGTGGGGCTTCTGGACCCTGCTTCTGGATGCTGTCCTGCCCAAGGCAAGGATGGAAGCCAGAGCCACCGTGCCTGAAGGGACCTGGATCTTCCAAAGCATACACTGATGCCAGGTCCCTCTAGGAGAGATCCTGAGGCTAGGGGGCACAACCCAGTGCTAGGCAGAGGAAAGAACAGGACAGACATACTTTTCTGGAGCTCCAGTGAGAGGATCCCAAGGCCCCAGAGAGTACTGAGGAGAAAGCAGGACTCTATCTACTTCTGTCCCCTCTCTATGGCTGTCTTTGTCTCCCCCTGTGCTTCTCTCCCTGATCTCCCCTTCCTTCTCTTCCCCTCTCTTCTCTTCTCCTTTCCCCTCCCTCATATCTCTGCTCAGCCTCCTGGCCCAAGTCTGTTTCTCTGTCCTGAGTTTGCAGGAGGGCTGGTGTAGGTGTCATGGTTTCAGGCTCCTCTCTGCACCACGTCTTCTGAGGTGGTGCTAGGTTGTGAGGGAACCCCCAGGTGGGGGCTGATCTGTCCCACAGGGCCACTTGAAAGCCCAGAGCCACACAGGGAGCTGTGCTGGGGCTTCTGCGGGACTCACAGGACACGTGAACCTGTGCATGTGTGTCTGCATGTGGGGCAGGTGCTGGTCCGTGGGGAATCCAGGGAAGAACCCTGTCCCTGACCCTCCTGAGCTGAGGTCTCTGTGGGCAGTGGTGGTGGTGGGGGCTTTCTTGTTACTTTGTTTTTAATTAAGGTTTACTTAATTGGTGCCCAGAGGGAAGAGGCAGACAGCACCTTGGTCTGTTGCCTGGTGAAGCCTGTCATGTCTTCAGTGGCCAGCCGGGACAGCCTCTGCCTCTGAGGCTGGCATTCAGGTTGTGTAGATGCCCAGAGGGGATTGTGCATAGCCCCCGTTCCTGCCTTTGGGAAGCCAAGACTGTGTGTCCAGCCAACATCCTGCCTCCTCCTCAGGACTCTGACATTTTCCCTGCATCAGTACATGGGACTGTGGATTGTTTCTAACTGTGCTGGACACCTATAACCCTGGGGACACAACTGGGATCTGGGCTGGGATCCCAGTTTCTCAGCTGGCAGGGTCCTCTGTAGGTCACAGGGGAGCCTCTGTTGGACCCTGGGTCTTATAAGAGATGTATGGCAGTTTCCTGGCACAGAGGCTGGGGGGTGGGACATGGGCCTGTGCCCCAGGTGAGCCAGACCCCTCAGTTGTGAGCCCTTTTCCCTGTTGGCCATCCTGTGGGTGACCACCCAGACTGCTGTTCCTTGAGTGAAGTGGGGACAAGCATCTGGGTCTCTGACATGGGCTCTGCCTCACGGTCAGGAGAAGGGCTTCTGCTCCAGACATACTCTTGTGGCTGAATGGATAGATAGCTGCTCAAGAGAGATTCTGGCCTGAGGGCTGGGCTTTCCTACCCACTTTCTCTTCCAGAAGGCCGGTGGCCTTCCAGAACTGACCTGTTATCTGTGGTATATGGGGTGGAGCCACAGCTCAGAGGGGCCAGCCTGAACTGGAGCTGGAGAAAGTGGGGAGGGAGCTGCTGTTCTGGCTTAGACAGGGGCAAGCTGAGGATTTTGTCCTGCCATCTTTCTGCCCATCCTTCTGTCCGTGCAGCCTCTGCCCTGCTCACCTTCTACCTCCTGCTTACTTCTCTGAGCACCTGAGATACTTTTCTGCTGGTACTTGCTTCACTCACTCACCCATTCATCACTCATGTACTCAATGTCCACCAGGTCTTGAGGACATGGAGACAAAGATGCCCAGCCCCTGCCTGTGTTCTAAGGGGACAATCAGCCTCCTAACCTGTTTCTTCTTAGCACAATCAGCCTCTGATACCTGGCTTATGTGTGCCACTGTTGATTGCTCTGGGGTCATGTTGCTCTCCTACTTCTCCACCCAAATGCACAGCCAGGGTAGGTGCACCTCAGAGTTAGGTCATGGTGCTTCTCTGTGTGGAGATGCAATAAAGACCTCTTAACGTGTGAAGGAGTGGGTGAGTGAGTGTGGTGAGAAAGTAGGTAAAGAGTGTAAGGGGCAGGCTTTGTGTAGGTGGTCAGGGAAGGCCTCAGACTCAGAGACACGAGCCACCCAGCCCTCTGGGAAGAGCAGTGGCTGAGGTGGTGGCCGGGGATGCAGGTGAGACCAGATGGGCTCCTCTGGGAATGGGGTGATAGAGAAGCTGCACTCAGGTGCCCTGAGTTATGAGCTACCCCAGCAGGGTTGTAGGACCGTAGGCACACCTTACTTGTCCTTAGGGAGTTTTGCGGCAAAGTGACAGAGAGGTGGGCAGTGTCAGAAGGGAAGCAGAGCCTCACAGGGCTCCATGAGGAGTTTTACAGTCTGCCTTAGCATTGGTGGACCAGTCCAAGAGAGGCAGAGAGGACCAGCCCTGGATTCTTGAGGGAGCATGAGTCCAGGGCTCTGGGCAGTACCAAGTACCAGCCTGTCTATCTGGAACCAGAATCTGGGGCTGCACCCACATGCACAGAGGCAGAAGCAATGGCTGGAGTTCTTCTAGACTGTCTGTTCCCACTGAATTTGGAAGCAAGTGCGTCAGTTGAGGTTTGTGAAGAAGATGAGTGAGGAGATGGAGGAGACAGAAATGTAGGGCAAAGCAAGGGTGGGGGCAGTGACAGGGAGAGGTAGAACAAGGCAGTGAGTGGGCAAATGAGTGAGTGAACTAACTGGAAGTTCCCCTGGCCCACCACCCTAGCCTCTTTCTCCCTCACTGTCTGGTCATTGCGTCGCTCTGTCACCTGGAAGGAGTTTGTAGGGGCACGTGTCACCTTCCACCCTGTTCAGGTTGCTGAGGATACAGAGGTGACCAAACAGACAGATTCCTGTCCTTGTGGAGGCTGAGTCCTCCCAGGAACAGTCAGTGTGAATGACCCAGGTACCCTTGCAGGGCAGTGAAGGCACAAAGTGTAGCAGGAAGGAGGATCAGAAGAAAACAGTCTAGGCCTGAGTCCTGAGAAAGTAGCAGGGAGATAGGGATGGTATGGCAGAGAGATAAAACCTGAGAAATCTAAACATGAGGAAGGTCACGAAACACTGAGGTGGGGAAAAGTCACTTAGTACTAGGGTAAAGTAGCCAATAAAATTAAATATAACCATGTATGGATTAGACCTTGCTTTTTGCTTCTGTAACCTGCTTGCAAGGGTATATAAGGTAAGACCCCTTTGCTCTTGGGGCTCAGCCTTTGGACTTGAGTTCGCTGAGTCTGTGCTGGCACAATAAAACGTTGCTTTCTGCTATTTGCCTCAGAGTCTTGTATCTCAGCTAGCAACCTCCTGCAACAAAAGTGATTTGGACACCTCCCACTGTCTGCTCTACATCCCGTGCCCAGTGTGAGTCCACCCAGGGCCATATCCCCTGTCGCCTCCCTGTATCCTCAAGAAGCTCATTGTGACCCCTGCCCCTCACCATCCTCCATGGAGTTGCTTCCAGGGACCTCTGTGGCCCCAGTGGAAGGTTCCCATCACTGCCCCTGCCCTCCCAGGTCTCCCTGGCAGCCCTGTTACACCCTTTGGCCTGGAGGAGTTGGTTCCACGGGTGACAGGTCAGGACTCCTAG